AGTAGAATAGGAAACATATTCAGAGATGTAAGGAAATTTCCTTGATGTGGAAAGAATAAAGTCTGCAGATTGAAAGCTATAAAACACTCATTAGAAAGTCAGAATCTTTAGAAAAGCTACTGAGCATAAAGGTGAAGATGAGGATTCTTTATTTATTTATTTATTTATTTATTTATTTACTGAGACAGAGGTCCGCTCTGTCGCCCAGGCTGGAGTGCAGTGGAACGATCCCGGCTCACTACAACCTCCTTCACTTTCCAGGTTCAAGCAATTCTCCTGTCTCAGCCTCCCAAGAAATCCCAGCACTTTGGGACGCTGAAACGGGGGGGTCACCTGAGGTCAGGAGTTTGAGACCAGCACGCCCAGATAATTTTTGTTCTGGTTTTTTTTTTGAGACACAGTTTCGCCCTTGTTGGCCAGGCTTAAGTGCAATGGCGCGATCTCGGCTCACTGCAACCTCTGCCTCCTGGGTTCAAGCGATTCTCCTGTCTCAGCCTGGGATTACAGGCATGCACCATTATGCCCGGCTAATTTTGTATTTTTTTTTTTTTTTGAGACAGAGTCTCGCTCTGTCGCCCAGGCTGGAGCACAGTGGCTGGATCTCAGCTCACTGCAAGCTCCGCCTCCCGGGTTTACACCATTCTCCTGCCTCAGCCTCCCAAGTAGCTGGGACTACAGGCGCCCACCACGTTGCCCAGCTAGTTTTTTGTATTTTTTAGTAGAGACGGGGTTTCACCGTGTTAGCCAGGATGGTCTCGATCTCCTGACCTCGTGATCCGCCCGTCTCGGCCTCCCAAAGTGCTGGGATTACAGGCTTGAGCCACCGTGCCCGGCCAAGAGACAGGGTTTCTCCATGTTGGTCAGGCTGGTCTCGAACTCACGACCTCAAGTGATTCGCCCACCTTGGCCTCCCTAAGTGCTGGGATTACAGGTGTGAGCCACCACGACTGGCCACTAAATTTTGTATTTTTAGTAGTGATGGAGTTTCACCACATTGTTCAGGGTGGTCTAAAACTCCCGACCTCAGGTAACCCAACCATCTCGGCCTCCCAAAGTGCTGGGAATACAGGCGGGAGCCGCCATGTCCAGCCAAAGGTGAGGATTCCTTAGGCAGAGAACATCAAGCTGGGCTCAGATTTCTTGACAGACAAGTTACCACTGAAGGTCAGAGGGAATGAAGCACAAGAGTCAAGAAAACAAATTATTACCTCAAAATATATTCATCCAAAGTATATTCTACTTTTCGCGGGGGGAGGCGGGGGATGGAGTCTCACTCTGTTGCCCAGGCTGGAGTACAGTGGCACTATCTTGGCTCACTGCAGACTCTGCCTCCCACGTTCAAGTGATTCTTCTGCCTCAGCCTCCCAAGGAGCTGGGATTACAGGTGCCCACTACCATGCCCGGCTAATTTTTTTATTTTTAGTAGAGACAAGGTTTCAGCATGTTGGCCAGGCTGGTCTCAAACTCCTGACCTCAGGTGATCTGCCCGGCTCCGCCTCCCAAAGCACCGGGATTACCAGCATGAGCCACCGCGCCTGGCCCATAGTATATTTTACTTTAAAGGCAAAAGGCAGGCGCTCTCAAACACAAAAGAATCCAGGGAATACAGCATTTCTGAGTCCTTTCTGAAAATGACTTACAACAAGATCTCATCATCTAAGAGCTGAAATAAAGAACTCTTCCCAGCTACTTCAGAGGCTGAGGCAGGAGAATCGCTTGAGCCCGGGAGGCCGAGGCTGCAGTGATCTGAAGTCACAACACTGCCCTCCAGCCTGAGTGACAGAGAAAGACTCTGTCTCAAAAAAAGAAAAGAAATCAAGAACTCAACCATGAAAATGACATGGTAAAGGGACTAAACAGGAGAAAACTGATCCAGTTACAGAATGAATATGACATGACTATGGCAAACAGGTCTACAATATCCCATTGTCATTTGTCCATATATATATATATATATATATATAATGTAGAAAAGAAGTCTGTTGTAATGTTCACCTAGTTTTTTTTTTTTTTTTGAGACAGAGTCTCACTCTGTCGCCCAGGTTATAGCACAGTGGCATGATCTTGGCTCGCTGCAATCTCTGTCCCTGGGCTCAGGTGATCCTTACACCATAGCCACCCAAGTAGCTGGGACTACAGGTGCACACCACCAGCCTGGCTAATTTTTGTATTTTTTGTAAGAGACAGGATTTTGCCATGTCGGCCAGGACAGTCTTGAACTCCTGGGCTCAAGAGATCTGCCCGCCTCGGCCTCCAAAAGTACTGGAATTATAGGCATGAGCCACTGTGCCCGACCAATATTAATGATTGTTTATTGGTGGTGGCATTCAGGTGATTTTTCTCATTTTATTTTTCTAGTGTTTAAATTTTGTATAATGAATGTGTACCATTTTTTACAAAAAATCTTAACAATGAACCTTCATTCAAAAGTCTAAAAACAAAAATGCTAATATACTAACAGCAGTTAATTCTGGGTGATGGAAATACACAGGATTGCTATTTTCTTCTTCGTACTTTTCTGTATTTTTTAATTTCTAAAACTTAAAACAAATTCAGAAAAAACAGTAAACACAAATATTAAATAGCAACTGCCTTTGGTTAATATTTTAAAACTTTAAGGGCCCAGGCGCAGTGGCTCATGTCTGTAATCCCAGCACTTTGGGAGACCGAGGTGGATGGATCACCTGAGGTCGGGAGTTCGAGATCAGCCTGACCAACAAGGAGAAACCCCGTCTCTACTAAAAATACAAAAATTAGCCGGGTGTGGTGGCACATGCCTGTAATACCAGCTACTCGGGACGCTGAGTCAGGAGAATCACCTGAACCTGGGAGATGGAGTTTGCACTGAGCTGAGATCACGCCACTGCACTCCAGCCTGGGCAACAAGAGCAAAACTCCCATCTCAAAAAAAAAACCTTATGGATACTTTTTTGTATTGTCTAGGTTTATTACAATGAGCATGTATTACTTTTATGAAGATATTCCTTCCCTTCAAAAAATGGTGTCTTCTAAGAAGAGCAGATAGAAATAGGACAGGCACAGTGGCTCACACCTGTAATCCCAGCACGTTGGGAGGCCAAGGCATGCGGAACTCTTGAGGGTCAGGAGTTCAAGACCAGCCTGGCCAACATGGTGAAACCTTGTCTCTACTAAAAATACAAAATTAGCCACGTGTGGTGGCGCATGCTTGAAATTCCACCTGCTTGGGAGGCTGAGGCAGGAGGATCACTTGAGCCCAGGAGGAGGAGGTTGCAGTGAGCTGAGATCACACCACTGCACTCCAGCCTGGGCAACAGAGTGAGACTCTGTCTCAAAAAGATTAAAAAAAGAAAAGAACTTTTCAGATGGCATAACATTATTAACAAAGACCAAGTGCAGTGGCTCACGCCTGTCATCCCAGCACGTTGAGAGGCCGAGGTGGGAGAATCACTTGAGGCCAGGAGCTCAAGATCAGCCAGGGCACAGGCAAGACACCATCTCTACAAACAATTTAAAACTTAAAAAATTAGCTAAGCATGGTGGCACAAGCCTGTAGACCCAGCTACTTGGGAGGCCGAGAGGGGAGGATCACTTGAGCCAGGAGGTCAAGGCTGCAGTGACCCATGTTCACGCCACTGCACTCCACCCTGGGCAAAAGAGCAAGACCCTATTTCAAAAACAAAACAAAACAGAGAGACAAAGAGAACAGGGTAGGAAAAGCACAAAATATGCTCTACAGATGTAGTTTGGTAGGGTGGAGGGCTGAGTAAGGGATGTAGTTAAGGATGAGGGAGGAGGGATGGACCTCGGGTAGTGGAGGGCTGAGGAAGGGAAGTAGTTAAGGATGAGGGAGGAGAGATGGACTGCGGGTATTAAATGCCAGGCTGAGGAACTGACAGCTTGGGGGAAGAAACAACCAAGAAATAAGGGGAAAGGCGTCCCTGTACTTTCTGGCCTTTCTGAATACTAAGATTTTTTGGACAGTGGTTCCCTGTAATGTTTTATTCCACATCTTCACTCTTTCTCACCATCTGTAAAAACTTACATGAGTAAAAGTCACCAAATAATTAGAGAAGACAAGATACGGAAGAAGAAGTTGGATTTGATAGAATCCACAGCTAACATTCTATTTAAGTTTTTATTTTTAATAGAGACGTTTAATTTTTTAAATTTTGCTTTTTTTTTTCTTTTTTTTGAGACAGAGTCTCGCTCTGTCACCCAGGCTGGAGTGCAGTGGCACGATCTCAGCTCACTGCAACCTCCACCTCCCACGTTCAGGTGATTCTCCTGCCTCAGCCTCCCAAGTAGCTGGGACTACAGGCGCCCGCCACCACACCCAGCTATTTTTTGTACTTTTAGTAGAGATGGGGTTTCACCGTGTTAACCCAGAATGGTCTCGGTCTCCTGACCTCGTGATCCACCCGCCTCAGCCTCCCAAAGTGCTGGGATTACAGGTGTGAGCCACCGCGCCCGGCCTTTATTTTGCTTTTTAATAGACATGAGGTCGGCCCGGTGTAGTGGCTCATGTCTGTAATCCTAGCACTTTGGGAGGCCAAGGTGGGTGGATCACCTGAGGTCGGGAGTTCGAGACCAGCCTGACCAACATGGAAAAACCCCATCTCTCCTAAATATACAAAATTACTCAGGTGTGGTGGCACATGCCTGTAATCCCAGCTACTCGGGAGGCTGAGGCAGGAGAATCGCTTGAACCCGGGAGGCAGAGGTTGCAGTGAGCTGAGAACGCACCATTACACTCCAGCCTGGGCAACAAGAGTGAAACTCTGTCTCAAAAAAAAAAAAAACAAACAAACGACATGAGGTCTTACCATGTTGCCCAGGCTGGTGTTGAACTCCAGAACTCACGCAATTTTCCTGCCTTGGCATGCTAAAGCGTTGGGTTTACAGGCGCGAGCCACCATACCTGGCCCCAATGTCCTTTGTTTAAAGATGGACAAGGGGGCAAATGGGTAGCACTGAGTCTTTGAAGAGAATGAGTCATTTCCAGTTATCAGCATGATTACCTTTTAATTTATCTTTAATGTTTTCTGATAAATGTTTTGTGAGCTGAGGCATTTCTTCTGGAGAATATTCCGCATTTGCCAGTTCCTCCTTGAGCACAGCATGGATACAGTCTTTCACCACAGAGGGCCTGAACCTGAATGGAAAATTTTGTGGACATCTAGTCGGTGACTCCAAAACCCCAGCTTACCTTCACACCTCAACTTCTCCCATCTGTCATTAGTACCACTTAATCCTTTTTGATATTTTTTATTATAAAATACAAACAAATTAAGACAAATCATAGGCCACATGTGTATCTTCAACCTGGACTTGCACTGAACTTCAACACATTCCAACTCATGCTCCATCTGGAAGTTTATTAGGCAACTCAATACATCCAGTAATGAGCTTCTCATACTCCCCTCTCCCTCAAAACAAAATATATATTTGTTGTCAATCTTGTTCTGCACACTTTCACAAAATAAAATAAAATAAATAAAATAAAAAATACGGCAGAATGGCATTCTGAGTATTCAGAACCTTTTCCCAAGATAACTAAGCATATCTTTTTCTGTGTTCATTCTACCCAAGGGAAAATTTCTGTATGAAATGTGTATCACTTTTTCTGTGAGTTACCAAGAGAATAAAAATAAACAGAGAAATTTGTATCACATTATAATCAAAACTCCTGGTTTCCATATTTGCCAAGCATCAGATTCAGCAATCCGGTTTCAAACAACAGAGGAGACGGGGACGTGTTTTTAAATCTGTGTGCGTGAGTGTGTAAAGTGAGTGATGTTACAGACCCAGCTGAGTGCCCTCTGCTCTGGCCCGTGAGCCTTAACCACGGGAAGGTCTCGGTGCGGTGGTCTAAGGGCCTCCGGATCCCGCCTGGTAGGACTTTGCTCACATGCAGCTCCCGCGCCGGGAGGGAGCCCATCCTGGCACCCGTGCGCACACGGTAACCCTCGAATCACGGCTGAAAGGCATCCCACGCGATGGCCTCCTGCCTCTATTCCACCCATCTCCTTACTCAGGACGCCATCCTGGGTTTCCCAGGGCCAACCATTCCCGCGGCGCCACCCTAAGACGCGCCCGGCGCCCCAACACTGTGGCCGCGGGTGGGGTCCCCTGCGGCTCTGTGGCGGGAGGGTCGTCGGGCCGTCCGGACGTCAGAGCCGGGCCGCCCTCTCGCCTCGCGCCCCCCGCCCCGCAGACCCCGCGCGTCCCCCGCGCTCCTTCCGTGGCCCAGGTCCCAGGCGAGCTCCGCCCCTCAGACCAGCGCGCTCGAGGTCGCCCCGCCACAGCCCGTCCTCTACCCGCCTCTGCTGGAAAACAGGCCGCAGAATATAGGTGTTCTCCGGCTCCGAGTTCTTCTCAGCCTCGGGCACCCCGTCGCCCACCAAGAAGGACACCCCGGTGGACGTGGCCATGGCCGGGGCTTCTCGGTCCGGGCGTCGCTCGCGACGAAGGCCTGGCGGGTTGCGGCAGCCGCCGGCAGCTGGGAAAGCGTCTCCAGGGCAACAGGGCCGCCTTCCGGCCTGGCTGAACCCCGCGAGCGCCCCGCCCCGCCGCCAGCCCGGCCCCGCCCCGCCGCCAGCCCGGCCCCGCCCCGCCCTTCCCGCGCCTGCGCACCGGCTGCTGGGCGGGAACTGGTTGCGTCCGGACCCGCAACCGCTTCCACCCACCTCGGGCGGTATCGGCCGCGCAGCCGTCGGAGGAAATAGACGCCGGGCCTGAGGCTCTTGGACCTGAGGTATTAGGTTGGTGCAGAAATCATTGCGGCGGCCGGGAGCGGGGGCTCACGCGTGTAATCCCATCATTTGGGGAGGCCGAGGCGGGCGGGTCACCAGAGTCAGGAGGAGTTCAAGACCAGCCTGGCCAACATGGTGAAACCCTGTCTCTGCTAAAAGTACAAACGTTAGCCGGGCGTGGTGGCGGCGCCTGTAAGCCCCGCTGCTCCGGAGGCCGAGGCAGAATAAGCTGTTGAAGCCGGGAGGCGCAGCCTGCGGTGAGCCGAGATCCGGCCACTGCACTCCCGCCTGGCGACGCAGCGAGACTCCGTCTCAAAAAAAAAAAAAAAAAAAAAGGAAGAAGAGAGACTTAGGGTGCATTCCCTGCTTTTTAAATTATATATTTATTTATTTTGAAACGATGTCTAGCTCTGTCGCCCAGGCTGGAGTCCAGTGGCGCGATCTCAGCTCACTGCAACCGCCACCTCCCAGGTTCAAGCGATTCTCCTCCCCCGGCCTCCCGAGCAGCTGGGATTACAGGCGCTCGCCACCACGCCCGGCTCATTTTTTGTATTTTTAGTAGAAACGGGGATTCACCAACCATATTGGCCAGGCTGCTCTCAAACTCCTGACCTCAGGTGATCCACCCACTTTGGCCTCCCAAAGTGCTGGGATTACAGGTGTGAGCCACGGACCTGGCCAGAGCCTGGGGTTCTCTAACTCGTTTCTGGGGCCTGCCCACCACTTTTCTTGCCAGTGCCCATCTTCCAGGTTCTTCCCAGGCTGCTTCTGCCTGCCTTATCCTCTTCCTGCCCATCATACCACACTCTCCCGCCAGCATGTCCTTCATTGCGCTCTGACTCTTCTCACCACCCAGCCTAACCTGACTGAAAACCCCGCAGCAGGAGAGCAGGAGGCCTCTGCTTCTAGGTGCCGTGTGAGAAGCAGCTGTGAGGTCGGGTTCACACCTGTAGTCCCAGCACTTTGGGAGGACGAAGCGGGCAGATCACCTGAGGTCAGGAGTTTGAGACCAGCCTGGCCAACATGGTGAAACCCCACTTCTATTAAAAATCAAAAAAAAAAAAAAAAATTAGCCAGGCGTGGTGGCGTGCACCTGTAGTCCCAGCTACTGGGGAGGCTGAGGCAGGATAATCAACTGAACCCAGGAGGCGGCAGTTGCAGGGAACTGAGATCCTGCAGCTGCACTCCAGCCTGGGTGACAGAGTGAGGCTCCGTCTCAAAAAAAAAAAAAAGGAGCTGTGGCATTACAGTTCACCACACCAGCCTGTGGATACCTCCCTCCCCTGTTCGCTGGGCCAGCTCTCTGAAGACTCAGCTCAGGCCGGGCACTGCGGCTCACGCCTGTAATCCCAACACTTGGGGAGGCTGAGGCAGGCAGATCATAAGGTCAGGCGTTCGAGACCAGCCTGGCCAATATGGTGAAACCCTGTCTCTACTGAAAATACCAAAAAAAATTAGCCGGGCATGGTGGCGTGGGTGCCTGTAATCCCAGCTACTCAGGAGGCTGAGGCAGGAGAATTGCTTGGACCTGGGAGGTGGAAGTTGCAATGAGCCGAGATCGCACCACTGCACTCCACTCCAGCCTGGCGACAGAGTGAGACTCCACCTCGAAAAAAAAAAAGAATCAGCTCCGGGGCACGCGAGGCCTTCCTTGAGTTCTCCCAGGTCCTCCGCCAGGAGGCTTGTTGTTCCACCGAGCTCTCATTGCACCTGCGTGAGCTCTAGCATGGCCCTTTGCATTTGATGCTCGAATCACTGGTAGATGTATTTATTTCCGACCTAAACAAGAGCTCTTCAAGAGCAGGGTAGCATCCAAGGGCAAGGACCATGTCTTGGTCACCTTTGGATCCACAGTATGTATGGCAGTGCCAGGCACAGAGTGGGTACTCATTATATACTATGTGTTTTGCAGGGGTTGTTTTTTTGGCAGGGTCTCTTGTCGCCCAGGCTGGAGTGCAGTGGTGTGATCACAGCTCACTGGAGCCCCAACCTCCCAGGCTCAAGCTATCCTCCCACCTCAGCATCCCAGGTAGCTGAGACGATGTCACGTACCACCACCGTTGGCGAATTTTTTAGTTTTTTGTAGAGACAGTGTGTTAGGCAGTTCTTGCACTGCTCTAAAGAAATACCTGAGACGGGGTGATTTATTAAGAAAAGAGATGGCCGGGCATGGTGGCTCACACCTGTAATCCCAGCACTTCGTGAGGTCAAGGCGAGTGGATTGCTTGAGGCCAGGAGTTCAAGACCAGCCTGGCCAACATGGCAAAATGCCGTCTCTACTTAAAAAAAAAAAAAAAAAGCCAGGCATGGTGGCGGGTGCCTGTAATCCCAGCTACTCAAGAGACTGAGGCAGGAGAATTGCTTGAACCCGGGAGGCAGAGGTTGCAGTGAGCCGAGATGGTGCCATTGCACTCCAGCCTGGGCGACAGAGCGAGACTCCATTTCAAAAAAAAAAAAGAGATTTAATTGGCTCACGGTTCTCAGGCGTTACGAGAAGCACACCACCCACATCACCCAGCTTCTGAGGAGGCCTCAGAGCTTTTACTCATGGCGGCAGGTGAAGAGGGAGCAGGTGAGTCCCATGGTGAGAGCAGGAGCAGGCGAGAGAGAGGCCAGAGGTGCCATACGCTTCTAAATGACCAGATCTCACGGAACCCACTATTGCAAAGACAGCTCCAAGTCGTGAGGGAGCCACCTCATGATCCACACACCTTCCACCAGGCCCCACCTCTAGCACTGGGGATCACAATTCAACATGAGATTTGGGTGGGGACAGATATCCAAACTGTGTGGACAGAGGTGATGCTCCTCAGGATCTAGTTGTTGAACTCCCGTCTGCCAGGCTGCTGTTACAGAATACTACCAACTGGGCCACTTAAGCAACAGAAATTTATTTTCTCAGTGCTGGAGGCTAGAAGTCCAAGAACCAGGTGCCAGCAGGTTTGGTGTCTCCTGAGGCCTCGCCCCTGCGCTTGCAGGCAGCCGCCTTCTCACTGGGTCCTCACAGGGCCTTTTTCTTTGAGCCAGTGTAGAGAGCTCTGTTCGCTCTTCCTTTTTTTATAAGCACACCAGTCCTATTTAATTAGGGTCCCACCCTTATGGCCTCATTTAATCATCTGTTGTTTTTTTTTTGAGACGAGGTCTCACTGTGTTGCCCAGATTAGCCTCAAACCCCTGTAATCCCAGCACTTTTGGAGGCCGAGGTGGGTGGATCACTTGCAGTCAGGGGTTCGAGACCAGCCTGGCCAACATGGTGAAACCCTGTCTCTACTAAAAATAGAAAAATTAGCCGGGCGTGGTGGTGGGCGCCTGTGATCCCAGCTACTCAGGAGGCTGAGGCAGGAGAATCGCTTGAACCTGGGAGGTGGAGGTTGCAGTGAGCCGAGATCTTGCCACTGCACTCCAGCCTGGGTGACAGAGCGAGACTGTCTCAAAAAAAAGAAAAAAAAAGTGCCGTCACCAAAGACTGTCACACTGGGGGTTAGGGCTTCAACCTACGGATTTGGAGGAAACACTATTTAGTCCATAATAACTGAAGAACTTGAATTTAGAAGATGGGGGTTGGGGCCCGGCACAGTGACTCACGCCTGTCATCCAGCACTTTGGGAGACCAAGGTGGGAGGATCACTTGAGGTCAGGAGTTCAAGACCAGACTGGGCAATGTAGCAAGACTCCATCTGTACAAAAATTAAAATCAGCCAGGTAGAGTGGTGTGTGCCTGTAGTCCCAGCTAGTCAGAGGCTGAGGCAGGAGGATCGCTTGAATGCATGGGTTCTAGGTTACAGTAAGCTATGGTTGTGCCACTGTACTCCAACCAGGGGAACAGAGCAAGACCCTGTCTCAATAACAACAGAAAAACAGGGAGATGGGGGTCGGGTGCCGACTTCCCCTGAATTTCACTGTGTGCTTTTGTGTAGCAAGCCTGCCGCCCTCTGTGAGCCTCAGCTTCTCGACGTGTAACAAACGGCCAATTGTATGGGATTGTCAAGAAGCTGAAACGAGATCCTGGCTGGAGGGTATTTTATGAACTACACATTCCTACACAATTATAATGACTTAGTTATTTGTCCTATCCATGGATCACCTGGAAGATTACAGTGTGATTTAAAATGCATTCTATCATTCAGCCGACATGCAGTGAATTTTGTTGTCATTATTTCTCCAGAGATACCCAAAGGGAAAGTTTGTTTATAATTTGTACCCACTCCTTGTAGAAAGGATTCAGGCAACCAATGATGAAAACACCACTGCTTGAACGCGAAGGTTCTGCCTGTCACTTCTCACAGAGGCTGCAGAAAAGGCCCAGGAGGCTGTTGATGACGTGAGCGACCACCAGGAGAAGCTGGAGCAGGCTGATGCACAGAAGGGCGGAGAAGAGGGACACATGCCAGACAACAGCTGTAGAGGGCTCCAGGCAGATGGAGTTCCAGAGCAAACGGTCATACAGATAATTCCTATCCCAAAAAATCAGGAGACCAGGGGTCGGGCAATAAGTAAGGAAAGCGAAACAGGCAACCCCAGTAGAAAACGGGAGCCTCTCCTAACTGGGTCATGGGACTGGGCTCCTGAGGGTGACCATTCCTGCTGCATTTGCAATTTTCTGAGCATCAGAGGAGCAAGATGCTAGGATGTGTGTGTCTTTTTGTCTCTCTCTCTCTCTCTCTCTGAAAAGACCAAGCCCGAGCCTCCACCCATTTACCTACTATGCAGGTCTTTGAATGGGTAACCATATTTCCAAGCTTGTGTCTGATTGAAGGATGAAGTGTCAAACATGCAAAAAGGACCATCTTTCAGAGCAGCTCCAGAAGTGACAAAGCAAATCAGGGCTCCAAGTAAAGCCAGGCCACTTGACAACAGAGCAGTAAGCACCTGCGGAGGAAAGGAGAAACGGCGAGCTAAGACGGTGGCGGCTGGGGAGCCCGTGGGGCGGTCTGCACAGGTCTAACGTCTCTGGTCTCAGGCGTTCTTCTGTCCTGTTACGGGGGAGAATTCTATCCATGGCACACAAGATAGAAGCATCACCCAAAGTGGGGAGGCCAGTGAGCGGTTTCCAGGTAGAGCCAGGAAGGGCTGGGAGAGAAAGGACCAAGAAGGAGAATCGCAGACTCTTGGCCCCGGATCTCCCTGACTCAGCGAGTTCACCTGAGCTGCTCGGCAGCTTGGCATCACAAACCTTTTGCAGATTACAGCCATTCAGCCCCTAAGCTAAAGAGGCAGGTTATCACAGGCCCGCCTCTGACTCTTCTGAGGAAAAGGTGCATTTTCAAAAGTTCCAGGCTCCCAACTCTGATTTTTCTCTTTTTCAAATCAAGGATAAAAAGAAGGAAGGAGGGAAAGAAGGAGGAAAGAAGGGAAGGAGAGAAGTGGGAGGGAGGGAAAGGAGAGAAACAGCGAGAGAGGAGCTGCAGTCAGACTCTGAAATGACTCCACTTCTGTTGCTGCATTTCTCCAGCCAAGAGCTCCCGTGGCGATCGGTGTGTGCCCTCACTGCCCTCCCAGAAAATAACTGGGTTTCCTTCCTTGACAGGTTTCTAGCCTGCTTCTATATTGCCTGCCTTCCTCCCTCCCTCCCTTTTCCTTTTTATTTTTATTTTTTATTTTTTATTTTTTTGAGATGGAGCTTCACTCTTGTTGCCCATGCTGGAGTGCAGTGGCACGATCTCAGCTCACGACAACCTCTGCCTCTGGGTTCAAGCAATTCTCCTGCCTCAGCCTCCCGAGTAACTGGGACTACAAGTGTGCACCACCACACCCAGCTAATTTTTGTATTTTTAGTAGAGACAGGGTTTCACCGTGTTGGTCAGACTGGTCTCGGACCTTGTGATCCGCCTGCTTCAGCCTCCCAAACTGCTGGGATTACAGGTGTGAGCCACTGTGCCCGGCCCATATTGAATTCTTTCTTAGGGTTCTAGATATTTTTCTCCCTCCTCCAAAAATGTGTATTTTAAAAATCTGAGTAACACCTACATAGCGTTTTTCTTCAGAGTCATGGAGTCATTTTCCCATTGATGTCAAGCTGGTTTGGAGTTTGGGAGGGACTGGAGAAAGGTGTATAGTAAGTTTTGACTCTGAGTTAAAAGATTCAAGATGAACTAGTAAGCCTAGGGCAGTGGTTCCCAAAATGGGGTCCCTGTCCAGCTGCATTACATCACCTGAAAACTTGTTAGAAATGCAAAACTTCCTGCTCCCCCTGACTCCTGAATCAGAAGCTCTAGGGAGGAGCCCAGCAATCCGTGTTCTGGCAAAAGCCCTCCAGGTGGTTCTGATGCATACTCAGTGTCAGAACTACGTGCCTCAGGGAAAACCAGACGGGACTGAGAACAGACAGTGCATGAATGAGGACAGTGAAAGAAATGTGCAAGTGTTTATTTATTTAGAGACGGAGTCTAGCTCTGTCGCCCAGGCTGGAGTGCAGTGGCGCCATCTCGGCTCACTGCAACCTCCGCCTCTCGGGTTCAAGCGATTTTCCTGCCTCAGCCTCCCAAGTAGCTGGGATTACAGGCACACACCACCACGCCCGGCTAATTTTTGTATTTTTGGTAGAGACAGGGTTTTACCATGTTGGCCAGGCTGGTCTCGGACTCCTGACTTCAGGTGATCTACCCATGTCGGCCTCCCAAAGTGCTGGGATTACAGGCGTGAGCCACCATGCACAGCCTATATTTAATTTTTTAACATGTAACTGAGTCAGTGGGCTTCCCAACACGTGGGCTGCAGATATCAGAGCAGGCTGTGGAGTTACCATAAGGCCACAGATTTATGTCTGAGACCGAGTGTGTGTGTGTGTGTGTTACACACATATACTGAGATCTTTCAAGTTTATACAGTTGCTGCTATAATTAATAAGTTACAAATTTATTCTGGGCCTCAGTTTATCTGTAAAATGGAGGGGTTAAATTAGAATCTAGTGATTAGATCTCTAGAAAAGTTTCCTGTTCTAAGAAAATATTAGTTAAAATAACTAGGAAAATTTCCATCAATGACACGATTACAGTGTCATAACTCAGTCCATATTGTCCAGCACGCTAAGAGAATAACAGTTCCTCCCACTAGGACAGACATCTGGGCTTCACTAAGCACTACTCCCTTGACTTGCTCAGCTCCCATTTTACAGATGAAAGCTTGAAAATGGAAAGATAAAGCAACTTGCCAAAGAACTTAGCATTACTGAGGGTCACAGTGAGGACCTGACTTCAGGCCCCAAGACCAAAACTGCCTCTTTACCATCCTGCCTCTAGAGTAATAGAGGTGGAGACATTCTCAGTGTTAGAAGAGTGGAATCTGGTGCTTACGCTTCGACAGAGCCCACTCTTACTGAAGCAGCCGTATCTCCAGCCCATCAAGGAGATGAGGATAGCAGCAGTGAGTACCTGCAGGAGAGAGAAGAATGTTGAGATGGGGAAATTTACTTTGCCAGCTGTTTCTAGGTGCTGCCCACAGCTGTTGAAATAGAGTGGCTGGGCACCTCCCATGAACTCAGTTGTCCTCTTGACTCTGACTCCGGGGACCCACAGTTGGATGACTAGCCTGATCTAACGCTGTGGATGTGTGGATGTTAACTTTCACACCTGACCTGCCTGGTCCCAAGTTAGTCGTCCTGTCTCTTAAAGCTGCTGCAGACCCAAGACCAGCTTGTTAGAATAAACTTTCCTGCAAGGAATCAAAACACTCTTCCCGTGCCACCTTCCTGCTCCCCCCCGGGGATCTCTTTGAGAGTTCGCGTTCAGGGAACCCCACACACTTACCATGAGGCCTCCTCCCCAGAGCCCAGTTCCCAGCATGGCATGCTTGCCAATGAGGCCCCTCAACAGGTAGGTCACATCCCAGTTAGGAAAGAGGAGTGCCATGTTGGCCCCAGCAGCAAACAGGGCTGCAGTCCCAAGGCTCAGCCCCAGGATACGGGAGCAAGTCCGTGAGCTTGCCAGCATGCAGGGAGAGGACAGCATCCTGGAACAGATAGAGAGTCGCGGCAGCGCTGCTGTCGGGGGATGGTCCGTGAGCCCGTGAGCGTGCTGGCGTGCAGGGAGAAGACAGCATTCTGGGACAGATAGGAGTCGCGGCAGCGCTGCTGTGGGGGATGGGGAAGGGAACTCCAGCAGCATGTGATGGCTGGGGAAACACTACAAAAACCGCCACCTTCCAGGGACAGACCAATGAGCCAAGCAACCTGCTTAAAAACTCTGCTCCTTAGGAATCTTCCCCAGGGACTAGGATTTAATTGTTTCCTTTTCTGCTAACCCCTGTCCACACATACATAGTTTGCATTCCATCATATTTTGTTTATGCCTCTATTACAGCCAGTGATTATTTCTATCCGACAAAAAGAAATGTTTAAAGGTGGCTTCATGATGTCCATTGTCCCCACTTCTATTCAGCGTTGTGCCGGTCCTAGCCAGCGCAGTACGAAAATAAAAGGAAGCAAAAGCCATACAGATAGGAAAGAAGGAAGTAACATTGCCGGCCAGGCATGGTGGGTCACGCCTGTAATCCCAGCACTTTGGGAGCCCGAGGCGGGCAGATCATGAGGTCAGGAGTTCAAGACCAGCCTGGCCAACATGGTGAAACCCTGTCTCTACTAAAAATACAAAAATTAGCCAAGCATGGTGGCAGGCGCCTGTAATCCAGTTACTGGGGAGGCTGAGGCAGGAGAATTGCTTGAACCCAGGAGGCGGAGGTTGCAATGAGCTGAGATCATGCCACTGTACTCCAGTCTGGGTGGGTGACACAGCAAGACTCCATCTCAAAAAAAAAAAAAAAGTAACATTGTTATTATTCACAGATAATGTGATCACATTATGTAGAAAATCCTAAACATTATTAGAACTAACAGGTGAGTTTAGCAAGGTCATAGAATAAAAGATTAATATACAAAAATTCTATTCTATTGTATTTCTATATACAAGCAATGACAAATTGAGGATTGAAATTAAAATATATTTACAATAGCATAAAAATATAATACATATGGATGAATTTAACAAAATATCTGCAAGACCTATATAGTAAGAATTGCAAAGCATTGCTGAGAAAATTAATGGAGACCTAAATAAATGGAGACACATACCATGCTCCTGAACCAGAAGACTCAAAATCGCTAATATGTTCTCCCTAAATTGATGCATAGATTTAAAGCAATCTCAGTCAAAATCCTAGGAGAGTTTTGTTATAGAAATTGACAACCTGAATCCAAATTTATATGGAAATGCAAAACAATTTTGAAGATTAGCCAAAGGAATTTTGAAAAACAAAGCTGGCGAACTTACGCCATGTGATTTCAAGACTTATAAAGCTACAGTAACTGAAGACACTGAAGTCACCGCGTAAGGAAACATATATGGACTACTGGAACAGGCTGGAGCTCAGAAATAGACCCAATCCATGACAAATGATTTTTTTTTTTTTTTTTTTGAGATGGAGTCTCACTCTGTCACCCAGGCTGGAGTGCAGTGGCGTGATCTTGGCTCACTGCAACCTCCACCTCCCGGGTTCAAGCGATTCTCCTGCCTCAGCCTCCCAAGTAGCTGGGATTACAGGTGCCCACCAGCACGCCTGGCTAATTTTTTGTATTTTTAGTTGAGACGGGGTTTCACCGTGTTAGCCAGGACAGTCTTGATCTCCTGACCTTGTGATCCACCCGCCTTGGGCTCCCAAAGTGCTGGGATTACAGGTGTGAGCCACCGCGCCCGGCCGATATATGATTTTTTAAGAAGATAACAATTCAGTGGGAAAAAGTCTCTTCCACAAATGGTGCTGGAACAATACATATGCAAAACAAAACTACCTTCACTGTTACTTCATAACACATTCAAAAATTCACTTGAAATGGAGCATGGGTCTAAAAGCTTTATAAAATTTCTAGAATAAAACAAAAACACTGGCACCTTGGGTTAGATAAAGGTTTCTTAATGCAAAAAGCACAATCCACAAAACATGATTAATCAGACTGCTTAAAATTTAAATGTCAGCTGGGTGCTTGCCTATAATCCCAGCTACTCGGAGGTTGAGGCAGGAAAATCGCTTGAACCCAAGAGGCGGAGGCTGCAGTGAGCCGAGATCATGTGACTGCACTCCAGCCTGGGTGACAAGAGCAAGCGACTCCATCTCAAAAAAAAAATCATGCTAAATGAAATAAGCCAGACGCCAAAGGACAAATATTGTATGATTCCACTTATATGAAATATTCAAAATAACAAATTTACGGAGAAAGAAAGTAGACTGGAGGTTACCAGGGACTGTGGGGAGAACAGAATGGGGAGTTATTGTTTAATGGTTACAGAGGTTTGGGTTTTTTTTTTGGTTTTTTGGTTTTTTTGAGAAGAGTCTAACTCTTGTCACCCGGGCTGGAGTGCAGTGGCACGATCTCAGCTCACTGCAACCTCTGCCTCCCGGGCTCAAGCAATTCTCCTGCCAAGTAGCTGGGACTATAGGCGCCCGCCACCACGCCCGGCTAATTTTTGTATTTTTAGTAGAGACGGGGATTCACCATGTTGGCCAAGCTGGTCTTGAACTCCTGACCTCAGGTGATCCACCTGCCTCGGCCTCCCAAAGTGCTGGGATTACAGGCATGAGCCACCACGCCCGGTGGTTTTGGGGGTTTTTTTAGAGATGCAGTCTCAATATGTTGCCCCAGCTGGTCTTCAACTCCTGGGCTCAAATGATCCTCCAGCCTGAGCCTCCAGAGTAGCTATGACCAGATTTGGGCCACTGCCCACAGTTTAATGGTTACAGACTTTCTGTTTGGGGTGAAGAAAAGTTTTGGAAATAGATAATGGTAATGGTTGTACATCATTGCAAATGTAATTACTGTCACTGAATTGTACACTTTAAAATGGTTAAAAAGACAAATTTGATGTTACATACTTTACCACAATAAAAAATCAATTTAAAAACTTGCAATTACCCAAATACTTATCAGTAATCAATAAGTGAATCAAGACAAATTGTGTTATCATACACACGAGTTCTATTAGGTAATAAAATGAGTAAATTTCTGATACATATAACAACATGGATGAATCTCAGAAGCACGATGTTAAGTGAAAGAAGCCAGAAACAAAAGACCACTCACATGCTTCTATATAGATGAAATTCTAGAAAAGACACTTTTAACAGAGAGCAGATGAATGGTTGTCATGGGCTGAGAATGGGGTCGAGGGTTAGTATGGGGCATGGGAAGCTTTCTGAGGGGTGGAAGCGTTCTATGTCTGGATTCTGGTGGTGAATACATAACTGTATGTATTGACAAAACTCATTAAACTTTGCACTTAAAATTGGTGAATCGTATTGAATTTTAACTATATATCAATAAAGCTGATTACAATTAAAATGTCATATCTAGATAAATTATAAAATGTCTCTTCCACTCCTTATATTCCTTTCTCCCTTTCTCTTATATTTTCATTGATATGTGAACTTGTTTTTTAGAAAAATATGAATTAAGGTCAGGCGCGGTGACTCACACCCGTAATCCCAGCACTTTGGGAGGCCAAGGCAGATGGATTACCTGATGTCAGGAGTTTGAGACCAGCCTGATCAACATGGTGAAACCTCGTGTCTATTAAAAATACAAAAAAACTGCCAGATGTGGTGGCAGGCACCTGTAATCCCAGCTACTCGGGAGGCGGATGCAGGAGAATCGCTTGAGCCCAGGAGGCAGAGGTTGCAATGAGCAGAGATCTTGCCATTGCACTCCAACCTGAGCAACAAGAGTGGAGCTCATATATATAAATATATATGAATTAAAACAGGACTAGTAATATTTGGGCAGACGCACGTCAATGTGGATCTGAAAAAACTCAGCGTCATGACATCCCCAGGAAGTGGCCTGTTGCCACTGTGCAGTTCTGTTACATGTCTGTCTCCCCTTAAGGCTCTTTATTTTATTTTTAATTTTAAAAAATTTATTTTTGGCTGGGTGTGGTGGCTCACGCCTATAATCCCAGCACTTTGGGAGGCTGAGGCGGGCAGATCACCTGAGGTCAGGAGTTCAAGACCGGCCTGGCCAACATGGTGAAATCCCGTTTCTACTAAAAATACAAAACTAGCCGAGTATGGTGGGGCATGCCTGTAATCCCAGCCACTAAGAAGGCTGAGGCAGAAGAATCACTTGAACCCAGGAGGCAGAGGTTGCAGTGAGCCGAGATCGCACCACTGCACTCCAGCCTGGACAACGAGAGTGAAAGTCCATCTCAGGAAAAAAAAAAAAAAATGTAATACAGGTGAGGTCTCCTTATGTGGCCCAGGCTGGTCTCAAACTTCTTGGCTCAAGGGCCCTCCCATCTCAGACTCCCAAAGTACTGAGATTACAGGCATGAGTCACTGCACTTGGCCCCTTGAGGCTCTTGACACTCCTATAACACATTGCTTTGCACTTAATCAGAAAATATGTGTATATAGGCTGGGCACAGTGGCTCATACCTGTAATCCCAGCACTTTGGGAGGCTGAGGTGGGTGGATCATGAGGTCAGGAGTTCGAGACCAGCCTAGCCAACATGGTGAAACCCCATCTCTACTAAAAATACAAAAAAATTAGCCGGGCGTGGTGGCGGGTGCCTGTGGTCCCAGCTACTCAGGAGGCTGAGGCAGGAGAATGGCATGAACCTGGGAGGCGGAGCTTGCATTGAGCCGAGATTATGCCACTGCACTCCAGCCTGGGCAACAGAGTGAGACTCCGTCTCAAAAAAAAAAAAAAAAAGGCTGGGCGTGGTGGCAGGCGCCTGTAATCCAAGCTACTCAGGAGCTTGAGGCAGGAAAATCACTGGAGCCCGAGAGGCAGATGTGGCAGTGAGCCCAGATCACACCACTGCACTCCAGCCTGGGTGACAGAGCGAGAGTGAGAGCGAGAGAAGGGAGGCAGGCAGGCAGGCAGGCAGGCAGGCGAAGGGAAGGGAGGAAGGAAATTTTATATATATATATGATATGGATCAGAGGCTCTCTCTATATATGCACACACATATACACATATAATGTATAATGTGTGTATATATGTGTGTATGTACGTACACACACACACGCAGTAGTCCTCCATATCTGCAGCGGATATGTTCCAAGAGCTTCAGCAGATACCTGAAACCACAGATCATACCAAACCTTGTATATTCAGATGCTTCTCCACTTATGATGGGGTCGTGCTCCTATAAACCCATTGTAAGTCAAAATATCCTAAGTCCAAAAGGCATTTATGTAATGCTGGCAACATAGTAGACAGTACCTGACTCACAATGGTTCAGCTTAGGATTTTGTTTATTTATTTATTTATTTTGAGACAGGGTCTTGCTCTGTCACCCAGGCTGGAGTGCAGTGCACAATCATTGTTCACTGCAGCCCTAATCTGGGCTCAGGTGATCCTCCCACCTCAGTCCCTCGGGTAGCTGAGACCGCAGGCATGCGCCACCATACCTGGCTAACTTTTTAGTTCTGTAGAGACAGGTTCTCACCATGTTGCTCAAGCTGGTCTCAAACTCCTGGCCTCAAGTGATCCTCCCACCTCCACCTCCCAAAATGTTGGGA